ATATGTATATGGGGATTTCAGTTATTAACCCACAGGGTGGTTGGTTGGTGGGTGCTCTGGTGTGGTTTGCTTCTTCTTTCCTTTCAAACCTCTGTCGTCCTTATCTCGCCTCCTTTTTTGTGTTTGTTACTCTCTTGTAACACCTTTAATCTTCGGAACTTAAATGATCTTATTGTGTTGCAAGTGCCTTAAAACACTAAAACAAATTACTCACAGCAAATGACCTATTTCTAAGAGAGCATGTACAGACAAGCATAACAATTCATTTATACCAACTGCAGTGAGGCTACTAAACACACAGTGCTGCATATGAAACAGAGAGAGAGAGAGAATGTCTTTGGAGCTGAAGTGTTTCTGCACATTATTCTTTATGTCCTTTCTTATTGTGTGAATGTGTTTGTTTTAGTAGAGGTTTTACGGCGCTTGCAACTGCATAACGTCATATGTGAGCCAAGGGGTGGATGTCAACAGAAAAGTCCTTTATAGGACTTATTCTGCTCACCTCTCTAACCTCAACAGTACAAAGTCTGCTTCGACTTTCAAGGCACCCCAAAAATAACGGGTCACAAGAGTGTGACAAACATACAAAAGAAGTAGAGGAAAAATGACTAAGTAAGGATTAGGAAAGAAAAAGCAACAGTTTCCTGTTACAGTTCAGGCACAGTTATGAGCATGACATTGATGAATCAGCGCATATACAATTACAATTCTACTGTGCATAAGAACAGAAGTTAATGTGCCCCCTTTGGGAATGGCGTAAAGACACTTCAGTCAGTTGCACCGCCCCGCGGGGTGTGTGTGAGTGTGTATGTTCCTTTGTTACACTGCTACCATTGTAAATGACCAAGATTATACCTCCCTGCGAGAAGAATAAAGATAACTGGTGGGTGGTTGGCGGGTGCTCTGGTGTGGTCTGCTCCTTCTTTCCTATCAAACATCTATTGTCTTTACCCCCCCTCCTTTGTTGTGTTTGTTACTCCCTTGTAAGACCTCTAATCTTTGGCACTTATATGACCTTATTGTGTTGCCAGTGCTGTAAAACTCTTTTTTTTTTTATTAATAAAGATAGCCATTGAAAATCACAGCCCACTGTTTCCCCTTCCTGTAAGACACCGCTGCGACCCAACTGAACCCCATGCTGACCCATGATGTTACACACTAGGTCGGGCAGTTTGAAAGGGGGGGCTATACTTTACTTTTA